CTGTCTGTTAGGATAGAGGGAAACAAGCTCCTGTACCAAAGTCCACAGCTTGGCCACTCCACTTGATAGAGGTGAGTTGGCATGGGGGGGGGGAGGGGAGGATGGTAATGAGACACATGGAGGAGCTGGGGGGATAATGAGACAAATGGAAATACACACAAAGGGCTGGGGAGAGAGGCACATAGAGGGTTGGTGGGAGGCACACAGAGGGCTGGGGGGAGAGAGGCACACAGAGGGATGGAGGAGAGAGGCACAAAGAGGGCTGGGGGAGTGGCACACAGAGAGATGGGGGAGAGTCATATAGGGAGCTGAGGAGGAGAGAGGTACTCAAGGATGCACACAGAGGGGGTGTAATAGGCACCCAGAAGGCTGAAGGGAGAAGAGGCATGCAGAGGGTTGGGAAAAATGAGCACAAAGGGCTGGGGGGGAGGGAGGGGCACACATAGGGCTGAGGGAGGGAAGAGGTGCACAGAGGGCTGTGTAAAGAGGAGCATTGAAGGACTGGGGTGACAAAGAGACACAGAGGGGTTAAAGGACAAAGGGACACATAGAGGGCTGGTTGGAGAAGAGAGAGACACACAAAATGGCTGTGGGGGACAAATAGACCCACAAAGGTATTGGGGGAAGAGACACACAGAGAGGCATGGGAAAGAGAAAATAAGAGACACACAAAGGGAATGGAGGGACAAACCCAAATAGAGTAGGGCTGGGAGGACAAAGGAGCATATAGAGAAGCTTAGGAGGACAAAGAGACACAGAGATGTGCTGGGGAAGGCTGGGGGAAAAAGAGACACACAGAGGGTCTGTGGAGGACAAATAGACACAAAAGAGACACAATAATGGGTTGGGGAGGATAGAGAAACACACAGAGGGGCCGGGAAGAGAAAGAGACACACAAACTGGCTGGAGGAAAGAGACACCCAAAATGCTGGGGGAGAAATAGAGCTTCTAAGGTGCTGGGGGGGAGGGGGAAGAGACACACAGAGAGGCTGAGGAAGGGCAAAAAGAGATACACAATTGTGTGTTACATGTAACTATGTAACACACAAATGAGTTGGGGAAGAAAGAGACACACAAAGTAGGCAATTTCTTGTTTTTTCTTATGGGGGGTACAAGTAGCTTGTCCTGCCTTCAGCGGAAAATAGTCTTGCACCTCTCCTGCCTGGACAACTTGGAAAATCTGCGATTGAGTAGGAATTTTAGATTTTTAGCTTACACAGGGACAACTTCGCCTGGACATCATGGTCGAAAAATTTTTTTGGGGGGTTGGGGGGATGGGGTTTTTGGTTTCGTTCTGCTAAAACATTTTTTTTTACAATGCATTTACACAACAGCATACACTCACAGATACTCACATATTCAAACCCAATACATTAAAAGCAGAAATATGCACATGGTGCTATGTATACATATGCAGTTGTCAAATTTGAATATGTTTTTTTTATGCATGCATAAAATAAAGACACATAAAGGGGCTAAGGGTAAAGAGAAACACAAAAGGTCTAGGGGGGAAACAGACACACAAAAAGGCTGGGTGCAGTAAGAGAAAGACAAAGGTGGAGTACAAGAAACACAAAGGGGCTGGGGAAGTAAAGGGCACACAAAGTGGCTGAGGGAAAGTAAGAGACACACAAATGGTTGAAAGTAAGAGACACACAAATGGTTGAGTAAGAGACATACAAGAGGGTGTAACATACACCAAAGGGGGGTAAAACACTAAAAGGGGTTTAAAACACACAAAGAGGCATAGGACAAACAAAAATAGGTAAGAAATTTAAAAAAGGGGATAAGAAACACAAAACAAGTAAGTATTTAAGAGAGACACAACTGAAGAATGTTGAAGGAAGCGAAAATGCATATTTGCTTTATAGCCAAAAATTCTTGCACCAGCCCTGCTTAATCTACATCTATCTCTTGGCTTGCATAGTCTGAGATTACTGTGTTAAATCTGAGAGGGCGGGCCTACAAAAATCTCAGAAATCTCCAAACAGACTCCACAACATGGGGGGCTTGTGACAGGCAGAGAAGGTACCTGCAACACCCATAGCAGGTGCATGCCGGTTCATTATTCTGCCTAATTATAAATACTGCTTGTTAGAAACATAAATGTGGCAATGGGAATCATGGGTAATATAGATGTGCTTTCGGAAAAGAGAGGGAGGGGGTGAGTGTAGCTTTGGTGCACGGGGCTTTTTCATTTTAATAAAAGCCACACACCTGTCTTTGTGCAAACAAAACAACAGTGCCTGGAATGTCCCTTCGTTGCAATAAAAGGCCAAGAAAGTACTGGTTTTCTTAATTGGTGGTTCATTTTACACACACTGATTTTTTTGTGATTTTTTTAAAATGTATTTATTTTTATTTTGGCGAGATCATAAGATAGCAATACTATTTTAAGCGTTGCATGAAACTTCATGTAAACATCTTGAAAGCAGTAACCTGTTCAACAAGTCCTGCCAACTTTGATATCATGTATGTCTTTCCTGCAGTTTTTAAAATCAAGAACTTCTGGTCGTCTTGTCTCTTTTTGCTGAACTTGACATATTAACATAAAACAATAAACAGATACTAAGCATCTTTATACGGGTCCTTTATTATGTACAATATTATCAGCTGCGATCATCTAGATAAGTGTATTTACACTTCAGGGGAATGATTCAACAGAAACTACTTTTCAAGTGTGCTTCTCACTGTTTTTGTTTACTTTTGGTACAAACTAATCAATATACATAACATCCATTTAATCTGTAAAACGTAATCCCAAAATATCCCAAAGCCATGTACAGGCTGGTGGGAGATCACGCAGAATGACTGGCAAGTAGAGTTTTTGTGTTGATTAGTTGCAGATTTTGAATGTTATCATCAAGCTACGGTAGAATAATTTATGGAAACATATATTATTATTATTAATTTTTTTTAAGAGGTAAAGGTATTTAAAGGGATACTATGGGTATCAAAAGCCTTTAGCTTTATGAAACAGGTTTATTATATAGATCATGCCCCTGCAGTCTCACTGTTCAATTCTCTGCCATTTAGGAGTTAAATCACTATGTTTCTGTTTATACAGCCCCAGCCACACCTCCCCTGCATGTGACTCACACTGCTTGCAGGAAAAAAAATGGCTTCATTTTCAATCAGATGTAACTTGGTTTGTAAGTTTTTATCACATGCTCTGTAAATTGAACTTTAATCACACACAGGAGGCTCCTGCAAAGTCTAGCAAGTTATTAACAGCTCAGGAGGTAAGACATTCTATCTTAAACAGGCCGTGTATTAATGGACATTTAAACATTAGATCTCCCTTTACAGGAAGTGTTTAGGAAGGCTCCTACAGACAAATCACCACTCATATACTGTGAAAAGTTAAAAACAACTAAGCTACCAGATGCGCGTTTTGACAAGACAAAGAAAAACCCCAAATGAAAACTCACACAGGTGACAAAACGCACGTCGTGTAGCTTAGTTGTTTTTAATTTTTAACGGGGTTCATCTGTAGGAGTCTCTAACTACAATCTGATTTTTTGGTATGTGTAATTGCAGAGCTACCTTTGACTCTTTTTAACCATTGATAGGACAGCCTTGAGTAATGCAAGGTAAATAAGTGGTTCAGTCATGGTAGCACTCTCAAATACATCCTTATATCAGAGAACCAGCCTGTGGGAGGCTATATGCTTTGCAATATATCCTTTTAGCCTTAGGCATACGTTATCCTTCACAAATAAATGTTCTTCTTTTTTCATTAGTTAGTTATGTTTTTTTCTGGTTTGTTTTACCCTTTCCCCAAATCTCCTGGGTTTATGTAGTCATATGTATTATACCTAATTACTACTACTGTTAGTGTTACAGAGACTTGATTTATACATACTTACACCAAGTATCATTATATCAAGATAGATGAGTATTTTGACTCCCAGTGAGTATCTACGCTAATAAAGTAGCATTTTTTGTAACAGTCCTCTTTGGTTTTTTTCTATGGATCAATTGTGGTTTATATTGCCGTGTCATTTACCTTTGTGGGATTATAAACGTGTCCTCCCTATATTCACTCCATAGATTGAGATCTAATTAGGAGACTCCATATGTATATATTTTCTTTTGTTAGGTGATGGGTGTATTATTATTATTTACTGATTATGTGAGTCCTTGAACACTACTGATTTCAATAACGTTTTTGGCCAATTTTGAATAAACTTTCCTTATCATATTTTAGGGACTTGTTCATTTCCCTTTTTCCTCTTTTAGTAGTATTTCTTAGGAATTCGTTATTATTCTCCAATTGAAGAAGGTTGCCTGGTCTGATTATTCAAGTTTTCTTTTAGATTATTGGAAGGCTTGGTGTGTGTGCAGAATTTACGGGGGAAAGAGATCTCAGCAAGATGGGAAGAGCCGGTGGAGGCAATGTTATGTTCTGGGCAATGGTCTGCTGGGAAGCCTTGGATCCTGGCATTCATGTGGATGTTACTTAACAATAATGTGTTTCCTAATGAATAGTAGGAAATGCAGGTCTTACACTCCACCACTAGACCACCAGGGCTTTCAGAACCGCCAGGGAGAACCCCTCCTCCTCTCCCCCCCCACACCACTTTGGAAAATCCAATGGAAAAGTTAAGTAGGAAGAATGATAAAAAAACACACCACATACTACATGCAGTGAGACCGTGGAAGCCTCTAATGATCAATGTCTTAATCCAACAGCCACCAACTGTGAGTGGAGCTTTGCCTTTTGTCAACTTTAGTCATCCTTAGATTCGCCATAAGACGTAGTCAGGATCAGTATTTCATTTCATATTTCAGTATTTCAGAGCCACTTTAAGTTGTTAAACTATTATCATAACGTTTGATGAATTACATTGAACGGGGAGCCAGAGTACTCCTGGCACCATAATGGTGCTTGAAGGGTTCCTTTAACAGATTATATGAAGTGTCATATATAGCTGACTTAGTTTGTGATAAAAAAAATAAAATATTAAGAATATGGGAAGAGTGGGAGATATGAGCAAGAAGAGTAGGGAGAAGGGGAATTATCTACCCATTAGCAATAAATAATGAATATTAAAAATAAAAAAATAAAAAATTAACGTCTTTGTAACCTATGATTTTCTAGGATTCTGGGCATTTGTGACCGAGAACTTTTTTGGTACCTTTGTGTTCCACAGTAATGTAATGCTTTCTGTTTATGTGCTCCCATACTATAATTGTATTATATGTATTTTTAAAGAATCTACCCAATAGGCATACATATTAAATATAAATAAACTATTAACAAAATGAAATCATATTTTTTCCCAATTACACGATAATAATTTCTACACGTCTATTGCCATTAAAGAAAAATAACTCAACATAGTTAATTTCTTAGATCTGGTTGTTAAAATACCAGGTCTAGGATTTCAATTTTTGTTTGGACGTAATATGATAAATATTGCAAAGGAATTCCGAATGCACAGCTAAATCTTTTCTAAATTTGGTCAGTTGAGACTTTTCTAGTTCAAGTTTAATAGTAGTCATAGAATCCAAAACCACTGCGAAAGCCAATATATTTGTAGACCCCCAGTGTAGATAACACTGTAAGCACTATGATTTTGGGGGGTTTTATCTAACCATATTATCACCAACCTCTGCCAAAGCTGCAGGGTATATTTTTTTTTTAGTTTTGTGTTTTGAACTCATGTTTCATTTTCATGGGGTTTTTCATACAATGTGAGCTGGATTTATTAGAGCTGACTGACACATCTGACTCTTTTTGACATTGCTGCTTATTTACTCTAAGATTGCTATTTACTAACTGGTGTAACTGTGCAGACCTAATCATTAGCAGCCTATAGGAAACAATGGAACCCGCAACGCTGTTTGAGATTAACTTTCAGATGGAAATGCTACCTCTGGGAAGAAGGTCTCACTAGCTGAGAACACCAATCAGATTAAACCTTTCAGTGTTGCAGATGAAAGCATTACAATGAGCTGCTATCCCCTGTAACAAAAAAAGTGAAATTTGATCTACGTGCTTAACACATAAAATGCAGCAATCTAAAGGACAGCCTCTGTATTGTTGAATGGCTCATTCTTGAGACATCCAGTCACTCAGTAAAAGTCCAGTTCATGTTGCAAATGGCTTGTACTGCTACTACCCCTGTGCACTAAAAATAATCAATAGGAATGGGCATCCATCACGGGGTCATCGTCCCTTGGACAGTCATAGGAGGGCTATTGGTAAACACTTTCACTAGTGATGAGTCTGGCTACGTGGCTATAGTCAAGTATCACAAGGATTAGTGAGACCAAACTCATATTATAGGAGGATAAATAACCACCATACCGTGTAGGTTGATCATCAGTAACTGTATAAGTGGAATTGTGAGTCTACAGCTATGTATTCTCTTAATTAATGTTTGATTCTGTTTTATTTTAAATAAATATTAAAGATTTAGTAATTAACATCACAGTCCAGTTCAGTCCTGGCACAGCCAGGGCACACATTTTATTGGAGGAAGAAAATCAGAATTATAATTTCTGTGTCACAACAATCCCCAAACTATGTAGAATTTTAAGAAATGACTGAGCGAATTATTGAAAATGAAAATGAATAAACATAACATTTGCACTCCTGACAGTTCCTCTATAAGGTTTTGTGTCATGTGCGTGCAATACTTTCATATTTAATACATATGTACTGAATTGTGCTATGGTATGGAGTGAGCAATAACAAAATACCCAATTTACATGTCACAGCCTGAAAGTGGTTAAATCAACTATTTACAAATGTAATGTTAAAGGGACACTATAGTCACCTGAACATCTTTAGCTTAATGAAGCAGTTTTGGTGTATAGAACATGCCCCTGCAGCCTCACTGCTCAATCCTCTGCCATTTAGGAGTTAAATCCCTTTGTTTATGACCCCTAGTCACACCTCCCTGCATGTGACTTGCACAGCCTTCCATAAACACTTCCTGTAAAGAGAGCCCTATTTAGGCTTTCTTTATTGCAAGTTCTGTTTAATTAAGATTTTCTTATCCCCTGCTATGTTAATAGCTTGCTAGACGCTGCAAGAGCCTCCTGTATGTGATTAAAGTTCAATTTAGTGATTGAGATACAATTATTTAAGGTAAATTACATCTGTTTGAAAGTGAAACCAGTTTTTTGTTTTTTTTCATGCAGTCTCTGTCAATCATAGCCAGGGGGGATGTGGCTAGGGCTGCATAAACAGAAACAAAGTGATTTAACTCATAAATGACAGTGAATTGAGCAGTGAAATTGCAGGGGAATGATCTATACTTTATTTAGCTAAAGTAATTTAGGTGACTATAGTGTTCCAGTCATATACAGCCGCCCCCATAGTTCTGTGTCACTGATATCTGGGAATCCTGATGTAGGATAGTAGTAGTTGATGTTGTAGTGAGAAGCATCCATTTTGGAGAAAGAGTGATTCCTTTATTTTTTTCAATCTGCAGCGGACTTTAGATTTTCACGATTTGACTCAGTTTCACATTTTTATAAAATGTCTTCAGTGGTCTTTGTACCCTTTCTTCATGTGGCTTACAACCTTCATGTTGACGTAATGAGTGGCATTTTGTTCAGCAGAGAAAAACTGCATCATTAAAACAAAAAAAACTAACATCTAAAGCCTATATTATATTCCTATACAGGCTACTTTCTTCTTATGTTACCATTTCCCTAAATAATATCACAACTAACTAACTAAATACCAACAGAATGATACCCTATATGTCCTTCTAATCCCAATTCTAACCCTAATTCTAATTCTACCATTAAAGGACCACTATAGTGCATATAGTACATACTCGTTTTCCTGGCACTATAGTGCCCTGAGGGTGCCCCCACCATCAGGGAACCCCTCCCGCCGGGCTCTGGGGGAGGCAAGGGGTAAAAACTTACCTTTTTCCAGCACTGGGCGGGGAGCTCTCCTCCTCCGTTCCTCCCATTCGGCTGAATGCGCACGCGCGGCAAGAGCTGCACGTGCATTCAGCCGGTCGCATAGGAAAGCATTTACAATGCTTTCCTATGGACGCTTGCGTGCTCTCACTGTGATTTTCACCGTGAGAATCACGCAAGCGCCTCTAGCGGCTGTCAATGAGACAGCCGCTAGAGGAATTGGAGGAAGGATTAACCCATTTGTAAACATAGCAGTTTCTCTGAAACTGCTATGTTTATAAAAAAATGGGTTAATTCTAGCTGGACCTGGCACCCAGACCACTTCATTAAGCTGAAGTGGTCTGAGTGCCTAGAGTGGTCCTTTAATCTAACTTCAAACTCTGAACTGATTCCAACCCCAATCCTTACTTTGATTCTAAACATGGCCTTGATTTAATATTTTTGGATAATTATTTCAAATTATTTCATAGTTTTAAATAAACTTTTTTTTTAAATATATAAAAAATATATCCTATATTAAAAATATATCAATATAAATTTAAAAAAAAATCTAATTACTGAATTACTAAAATATCTTTAAAACTATAAAATTCTTTAATAAATAAAACAATAAGGAAGGGAGACAGGAGAAGGGACAAGATGAATGATAGTGTCCTGCAGAGTGGTAGTTGCCTCGTCATAGAGGGGTGACCTTAGGATAGGTTGGGCTTGGGGAGATCCCAAAAGAGGAAAGTTAATTAAAACTTCACTTTTAATTTAAATAGTTAAAAATGGGGGTATACAAACAAATTTTAGTATAATAATAACTGTTGTAAGAAATCCTCAAGTGATACAGTTACACTTCATTCAAATGACTGTTGTAAGAAATCCTCAAGTGATACAGTTACACTGCCTGTTAACAGAGTGAAATGCCACTGTGGGAACAGCAGCTACAATTTAGTAGTGTCAATAATGTATCGATATACCAGTACCCGGGCTCAAGGAAATATAGCCAAGTCCCAGTGAGATGCACTGAAACTGTTAACAAAGCTGATAACAATATTTACCGAAACTGCAGTGTCTAGACTCCAAAACAAGCTTGAGAGTGCCAGTATACTGCAGAAATGGATTTCTTACAACAGTTATTTGAACTAAAATGTGTTTGTATACCCCCTTTTAACTATTTACATTAAAAGTGAAGTTTTAATTATCTTTCCTCTTTTGGGATCTCCCCAAGCCCAACCTATCCTAAGGTCACCCCTCTATAACGAGGCAACTACCACTCTGCAGGACACTCTATCATTCATACTGTCCCTTCTCCTGTCTCCCTTCTTTATTGTTTAGTTTTATAGTGCATTTCATTGCACTAGGGGTTAACCCCCGCTCAGGAGTAAGATTATTGTACTATCTTCCTTCCCCTTGTTTTTTCTTTAATAAATATATCCAAAAATATTAAATAATTTGGAACAATTATACAAACAATTTACCTATTAAACCAAAAGTCCTGAAAAAAGAAGCTGTTTGAATGTAGTAGGGTAGATAACTAAAATGCTAACCACAACAATATATAATGAGTAGCAAATAGCGTTGCAGTTTCTCTCGTTCTTTTTATTAGTTGGAGTCAAAGCAAAATGACACCATTAATGAATAGTGAATTTTTCGTGTGATTTTGCTGTAGCGTCAATTTAAAGAAAGTCGGCTCTTGTGAATTAAGCTGTGTAGGTGAAACAAAAACACTGAAGTAGAAACATATATACCCTTCTCAGTGGTCTTACGTGTTCCCAGATTGCACCGCTGCAGTCTATAATGAATGAGGCGGCAAGGCTCATTTTCCTGTCCACTCGCACCTCCCACGTCTCCCCACTCTGTCAGTCCCCGCATTGGCTTCCTGTAAGATATAGGGCTCAATTTAAAATTCTGGTTCTTGCTTACAAGTCCCTACATAATGCTGCTCCAACCTATCTATCCTCCTTAATACACAAGTATGTCCTGTCGAGGCACCTATGCTCTGCCGAAGACCAACGTATATCCTCTGTCCGTACTCCCACCTCTAATGCTCACCTCCAAGATTTCTCCATGACTGCACCCCTTCTGTGCAACTCCCTTCCCTTCTCCGTAAGACTTTCACCCAGTCTCCACTCATTCAAAAATCATTGGAAACTCACTTCTTCAAGAAAGCATATTAATTAAACTGTTAGTGGGTTTTTATCCCCCACCCCCATGACTCCTCTCCTGCAACTGTCACAAATTACCTACTAAGCCCTCAGTGAATACTTTTCTAACAATCTACTTCGTACTCCTACTTTTACCCTTTGTGTCACTATATCCCACTCCCTCTAGAATGTAAGCTCATTGAGCAGGGC